TAGGGGCTCGGGTAAGTAATAAAAGTGATTCAAAAATAGTTTCTCAAGTGATACAAAAGGCACATCCAAGTATCCAGCTCGAAACAAGTGCACGGGCTACAATTAAAGCAATTCAAGGATAGATTCTCGAGCGATACAGAACAATCCTCTCAAATATTCAGCTCAAAAAAATGCATGGGGCTGTAGTTAACAATTTTCGACACAATAGAAATTATATTATAGGTCAAATCATTTACGTATATACCACTTAATCCTTAAATGTTTAAATGTTTAGTTTCTAGCTTTGTCATTCAATGAAGCTTAGAAGTTAAATAGTAAAAGTGAAGGAATTAAGTGGTATGTATGTGTCATACTTTAGGTGTCATAAATGTAAAAGTACAAGGACGGGTTGGTAGAAATGTAAACAAATAAGCATTGGATGGTAGGTATGCAAATATAAGAGCTTATTTGTTAGACACATAAATACGAAAAGATTACGTGGTATGGATGTAAATCAGCTTATGTGTGCATACACCTGATACAAATTGCAAATCTTCAAATAATGTTCCAACCCTCCATGGAATTTTCATTTCCCACAGAGGTGAAGCAGGCTTCCTAAATTTCCTTTCCCAACAAAAGTTGAAATAAATCAGCAAATTGCTGAAGGCATTAAAGTACTCGTAGTTGCATGATTAAGACCCCACAATTCCTCATAGAAAACAAGTACTCCTCATTCTCCACAATTAAAATAAAACTGTCAGATTTTTCCTTTTTTTTAAGAATGAGAGTGCATAAACTTAAGACTTTCACCAACCCATTATATCAAGATTTTCAGTTTCAGCTTTCCAAACATTACAGCCTTCAAAATGTATGAAATGTGCATAAATTTTCATGCAATTTAAATCGTATATGAATAACCGAAATATTTCACCCAAGAAAGAGTCCATTCAAAAATATAAATTCATATATCATGAGATTCGCATAGGAACAGGGTATGCATAAGAGATTATCAGCTCAGCTGACTTAAAAGAAAGAACAGGGGAATAGGCTACCGAGCTCCAAGAAGAAGCAAACACCAACCCAATGGGAATTTCGACAACACCTCTCCCTCTCCAAGAATTTCGGCCAACCCCTAAACTCCCCCAAATGGGTTTTTTTATAGGCAAGGAGGGAGAGAAAAATGCCTTACCTACCACGGTGAGATGGCCGAATGAGGTATCGGGAGAGGAAAGATCGCATTTAGTGAGAAGGAAATGCGACACAGGGGATAGGAAGGGTTGGACAGGGGGCAACTCGCAACTGGCGAGCCGCTCGGTCGAGCGGTTCTCGAGAGGGCGAGCCGCGAGTGGGAGAAGAGGAGGGCGGGCCTGTTCACGAACAACAGAGGAGACGCAGGAACTAGGGCTTCGCTCGGGCGGCCTCGGGTGCGACCGATTGAGGGAGCTAGGGCACGACTGGGGGCGGCGGGTGAGGCAGGCTGCGGTCCAATCGGGGAGGGAGGCTAGCGCGGTTCAAGTGAAATAAGGTTTAAAATAAGGATTTCTTTTTATTATTATTATTATTATTTTGTTTAATATTTTAAAATTCTCGATTTGTGCATTTTCGCTCGTGCATAAAATCATAGCAAACTAAATGTCCTTTCTAAATAATTTCAACGTTCTGGACGCGCTGGCGCGGTCCGTTTCACCATCTGAGGTCGTTTTGATGATTTCATTGATTTGCGTGCAATTTACATGTGTGCGGAATTATGGCAATATAGATGTCCTCTTTAGCTAAAATTGACGTCACAACCATGCCGACACAGTTCATTTTGTCATCGGGAGTTGTCTAGACAAGTTCACATTTTTCACCCTGTTTAAGTTCAATTTTAGTCCGACTTTGCGCCTTGCGCAACTTGGTGAATTTTGTGTGTTTTGTGTGTGCTGATAGAGTCTTAAAGGAGTTTCCCTAGGGCTTGAGATTCTATTGGGAACTTCTCTTTGATTTCCCATATGTTGGTCCTTAACCACTCGACCAAAAGATGATGGTTTGAGACCACCCAAGCGAGACGCCACAAGAGAATCAGGATGTGGTTCGAATTTCTAAAAATGGTGGGTCCCAGATCTAGTCCTCTAAGATAGTCGATAGGAAACCTTAGAGCTAAATCCTATGATCTAAGGAGGAGAGAAATGACCTCAAAATGAGGTCAACACACAAACGCAAACATCAAATTTTAGCTGTTAGATATGTAAATATGTCAGAATTATGTGGTATGAATGTAAATTTTCCTTCTGAATAAGTTTTTTTGTAAATAAATAACACTAATCACCACAATTCTCATATATTTACATATCTAGCACCCAAACTTTTATATCTACATGCATAACACTCAATTCTTGAACTTTACATCAGGAAAGTGAAATACACGTTTCTATGCATAGGTTTATAAAACCAAAATATGATAAATGTAAATATCAAAACCTTAGCTGTTAGATATGAAAATATATAATAATTATGTGGTATGTATTTATTGACCCCACATACATACCCCACTGTTCTTATATATTACATATCTAATACCCAAACTTTCATATTTGCATGCATATTACTCAAATCTTGAACATTACATTAAAAAAATACCACAATTATTAACTTCTTAAAAATGAATTACACATTTATATGTGTAGGTTTATAACACCAAAATATTATAAATATAAATATCAAAATTTAGTTGTTAGATATGTAAATACATAAGAATTATGTGGGATGTATAATTTTCCTTTTTTTAATAAGCTTATTGTAAATAAATAACATTAATCGCCACAATTGTTATATATTTACATATCTAACGCTTAAACTTTCATATTTACCTTGAACATTACAAAGAAAGTGAAATAGGTTTATAAAACCAAAACATGATAATTGTAAATATCAAACTTTAGCTGTTAGATATGTAAATACATAATCTTTACATAGATATCAAACCCTTTTTTAAAAAAAAAAATTGTAAATAAATTCACTAATAACCACAATTCTTATACTCAAATCTTGAACTTTACATAAAGAAAGTGAAATACACATTTCTATGCATGGGTTTATAAAACAAAAATATGATAAAAGTGTATATAGCAAACTTTAGCTGTTAGATATGTAGATACATAAGAATTATGTGGTATGTATGTTGACCCCACCTGCCTACCCCACAGTTCTTATATTTTTACATATCTAACACCTACACTTTCATTTTTTACATGCATAGTACTCAAACTTGAACATTACGTAAAAAATATTACAATTATTTACTTTTAAAAGTGAAGTACACATTTCTTTGCATAGGTTTATAACACCAAAATATTATAAATGTAAATATCAAATTTTAGCTGTAAATACGTAAGAATGTAGTGTGTGAAAGAATGATGTGGCATGTATGTAAACTTTTTTTTTTTTATTAAGTGTTTTGAAAATAAATAACACTAATCATCACAATTATTAAATATTTACATATTTAACACCTAAGCATTTATATTTACATGCATGATACTCAAATCTTGAACATCGCAAAGAAAGTGAAATACACATTTTCTATACATAGGTTTATAAAAACAAAATATGATCAATGTAAATATAAAACTTTAGCTGTTAGATATGTAAATACATAAGAATTATGTGGTATGTATTTAAATTTTCCCTTTTTCTTAATAAGTTTTTTGTAGATAAAAAACACCAACACCACCATCTCTAACAATAGCCATCGCTTCATTTATACCAGGAGCTTCTAAAGATGCATTTGGTCCTTCCATAAGGGGCTAATTTTCTTTTTCTGCAGTGTGAGAAATAACGCCCAACATGTCTTTTTTTATAGCATCTCTCATATGTGACTTCATTATCATGCCACATATTTTTTATTGCTGATTTTCATTCTTGTGCATTTGTTTTTTCATTTTTTCGTGCTTGTAGTTAAACTGGATCTTGTTAGTGGACAATTGGACAAAACTTGTATTGGGAACTTCAGCTAATTGTGTTCTTATTTGATGATGCTCTGTTGGCAATCAAATATTATGAAGATGCAGATCTAGCTTGGCGCATTTTATTATCTTGCTGTTTTATCACATTGTTTATATTATAATATTTGGTGTATTTTTTATAATATTATTTCTACTGTTGTTAAGTTTTACATTAATATACTGCATTTATCAATATTTAGACTAATTTAAACCATATTTTGTCAATATAATGGGAAGTATGTGATCAATTATTTACTAATTTCCTTGCTGTTAATAATTTATTTTTAGGATTAATGACAAGTTTTTGCTCACTTGGACTGTTTTTTTTAACTTATTTATATCCTCAAGTCAGTTGAGAAAAACAATTTTCCTACTTGCCTCAGCATATTCTTCAGGCCAAGTTTGCCCGGACAATTGGTTTTGGTTATGATAACCTTTTAATAGAGGCGAAAAATAGGTATATAACCTCATGTGCCGTCTTTCAGGGGTGGTCTTTTATCTTCTCGCATTACTTATTTCCACCCCGTGTTTTATGTTTTGTGTCTATATCTTGGCTTGGACGTTAAATTGAACAGTAATATTATATGCTATTAAGGTTCTAGTATATGTACTCCTTCACTTTTGTGCTTGCACTGGTGTTAATATTTTTTTCCCCTCTAGTACTTCAGAGCAATGCTTCAAGCCTTTTGAGTAATATATATTTGTTGTGTTCCTGCTAATGTATTTTTCTCCTTAAATATTACCCCTATATGTAATGCCAAAATTGTGCCAGATTCATGTATGCATGACTTGTAACCTAACCTTTTGGGTTTCAGAACATATTCTTAGAAAGTTCACGATAACCATAAATTTTTGGAAGGTCTTGATTAGCTTTCCATGAATATTGTTCTAGTTACTTATTTTTGTTGAGTTATTTCGGAGAACATCCTATTTATGAAAATTATATTGGGGCAGTTTACATGACTTCTCAGTGCAAAGGCTAATGGTTGATTTTGAAAGTCTTTGTGATCACTATTGTTTTCATTGTTTATCTGATAGCAGATACGCATACTCAGAGGAGATGGGTGATGATTTCGATGAGGAAGGAATTTCGCTCACCAGCGGTGCCAAGGTAGTTGGGGATATGGCGAACAAGCTTGAAAGGAAGGACAAAAAAGCTTCCGAACATGTTTTTGGATTGGGAGATGAACATGAAGAAGACAAAAGAGAATGATAAGTGCTTTTCATGGATAGCATATTAATTTTTGTTATTTCATCCTGGTATATTTTCCTCTGATTTCCTTTTATTATTTCTTGGCTAAGGATCGGTTTGATATTAATATTTTTTTGTGTAGTTTCTGTCATCCATTCGCATTTGAAATTTCTGTCTTTCCATGAGCAAAAGCCTACTGAGGCAAGGGATACCAATGTACAGCAACGTGCATGATTGAGCTGACTTAGAAGAATTGGCATTGGGCTTCATTTTTGTATACAATGGCTGCCAGGTGTAAAATAGAGACATCTTAAAAGAAGTGTAGTTATTAAAACTAGAAGTTTTCAATGAACTTCTCATGTTCGTTGTTGTTTGATGAGTAATAAGCATCATACACAAGCAGTCTAGGCTTTCTCTGTCTTTCTTATTGCTAAACCTTGTTCAGCTTATGGATTAGGCAACATGGCATCTTTTTTTAGCAGTGTGTTTATTTCTTATAATTAAGTGGATTGCATCTCATAATTGTAAGTGGCTGTCCTATATTTTTTCTTGGCTGTCAATCTCAAGTACCTTGTATATTATTAAAAATGGGAAGACCATTTGTATATTCCAAGCTTCAAGAGTTTGCTATAAAAGGAACAATGGTCTGCATTATTTTGGTTTGTTGCTCATCACAAATATTTGCGCTAAAAAAATGATGTGATATTTCGATCGCATGCATGGCATATTGATGGGAAATATAATGCGTATGTAGGAGTGCTAGTCTTAGGAGTTTTGGACAGGCTTATGATGTGGATGAGTGAATCATTTAGAAAAAAATTTGCCTTCAAAAAAGCCATTCATGTTTGTCAGTCACTTTAATGTTAGTGTTCGGTCATATTGATAATGATTGGGATGGACATGTGGACGAGATAGATTGTATTGAATTTTCTTGTGATCTTTGGATTTGTATTCTTAAGTTTATTATCTTATGTTGACTCACTTATAACTTAGTAGATTCTTGGTAGACTCCCAACCAATAAATTGGTCTATTATGCATATCTAATAAATCCTAGGTGGTTTCCTAGTATCTACATTGACTCGAGCACACGTAATAGGGGTTAGGTTACTGTTGGGCTCTCTTTTGGATCCTACGAGGACTCAAAGTGTGCAATAGATCATTAATTATATGGTTAGCCTGGCCTTATCCTAATTTATTTCATCCATTAAAGACTATTCAGTACATAAGTTGACTTCAATTGATCTTGGAGCTTCCTTTAATTTAGACCATGAGCCTGACAGCAAACTAGCCTAGACTAAATCTAGCTCTGACTAAATCCATTTTGATCCTAGGATTGGTAATAATCGAAAGATCCATTTGATCCTGATTATTCAATTGATTTAATCAACCCTTAATTGAACTTGATTAAATTTTGAATTCACTTGTCTTGCATCCTTGGCTCAATGCCAAACCTACCTAGCTTGATCATATCCCATTTGACATAGAATTGGACTAGCCTCGGTGCATCCTCACCCAAAACAAGAGCCAAGCAGGCTCAATTCATGCAAACTATCAGCAATTGAATCTTCCAATAGCTCCTCATTGGTCCTTCCCAACTCTGGCCCAACTTTCTTTAGCCTTTGCTGTGGCTAATAATGATTCTCAGTCAGTTCATATTATTACTTCATGGCATTCACTACCTTACCATAAAAGAAGATTAAAGTGAGTTCCTTAACTCAAAAGTCAAAAGTCAAAAGTCAAAAGTCAAAATTCTCTCTCTCTCTCATCATTTATTTCCTGATCTAAATTTCGTAGATCTAAATTTCATTATGGATTTAGGATCTACTATAGCAATTAAAGTATAACTATTAATTTGAAAGTTGTAATAAATTGGGGTTATCCATATCGAAGTGTGGTCCCATTCTATATGATGATGCGGTGCATCATTTATTTCCTGATTATTGTAGTGCTAAATTTCGTAGATCTAAATTTCATTATGGATTTAGGATCTACTATAGCAATTAAAGTATAACTATTAATTTGAAAGTTGTAATAAATTGGGGTTATCCATATCGAAGTGTGGTCCCATTCTATATGATGATGCGGTGCTGAACTACAACTTCCTTGTCTGAAAATGACCCGAACACTAACATAATATTTATAGTGGTGGATTGGAAGACCCTTCACGGATTAAGAGTTCGTTTCAACAATCTATGGATTAAAAAAACGCTCGCGAATTAATTCCTGCATGCAAAATGCAAATATTAGTTCAAATTTGTGTCATGAACTCAATAAATCCCATCATGTCATCTCAAATCAAATCAATCATCATAAAAAGACAAAAAGGCCAAATCAAAACTAAATCAAATTAACATCATTTTTGGCCTTGTTAGCAAACGTCAAAACCTAAAATCAATAGAAAAATGCTGCTTAAGCCTTATGCGAGGAAACATCTAGTTTTGCCATTTTCCTTCATTTGGCTAATCCTGAGATAAACAGTCCCAAACTTCACAAAATGCCTCGTGTGCCTTCTAATTCCAAGAAAATCCACAACTCAAATAAAGAAAAGAAAAAAAATTCAATTTTCAATTAAATTCATTGACATATGCTGCAACTTTAAAATCAGCAAAAAATATTTGGAGCTCCCAAAAATTATCCAGAAAAGCTTTGGCTTATTGTTTGGCCAGCTCCTTTTTAATGAGACACATCATTTTAACTAGCACTGTCCACTAAAATCTGAAAGATGTCCGGATTTTATTTTGGGGAGGGAAGCATTACTCTCCATTTATTATCCTCAGAGAACGCATATTATAGCTTCATTGTTAAAGATGAACAATCAAATGTGTACTCACCAAAAAAATAATTCCTAATAATTAATTTTCTGTAATTTTTTATTAAGAAAACATGCTCATTTATCATACAAATGAATACAAACAATTATCATAACTACTAAGATTAAACCCTGCCTATGTTCTAAAAACTAAGTTCTGTCATTATATATGTATATATATGTCTTCTATCTTCATAACTTTGAATTTCTTCCTTCCTCTCCAAATCTCCTCCCTGCAACTTCTCATTCAAAGTTCTATACTATCTGTCCTGTTCAATTCTATGGCCATCACCCGGGCTAAGATTTTCAAAGAGTAGATAACGAGCTGAAGAATAGCCCATAAGTCTGTGCAACTGCGAACCACTACCTTTTCTACCACTTTCCTCTTCTTCCACAATGCCATCATATCTTCCAAGTTGCCGAGAGGGCTCAGCCTCATAAGAATAACTCTTACCAAAAGAAACCCCATATTCTTCAGAATACGAAACCGGATCGCCTCCTGCTAACTCATTACTAGCTCCAACTCTGATCTCATTAACTAAACCAGATACATTGTTCTCGCTTTCGCTGGGTGGATGCTGAGCTTCTGCAGGAGTCCGCTGTATCGAAAGAGCTCTCGATCTGTAGAAGTACCTTAGAACTTCATAACAAGAACCACAGCGAAGCTTATGAACTCTCTTAGTTGACACTAGAAAATCTGCAGGAAGTTGTAAGAGCTTGTAACATTTGTAGCAAATCACAAATGGCGCGCCACCGGAGACTGGTCGGCAATGCCGCTTCACTGCCTGCTGTTTCTTTTTATCATTGGACTGTGGGTTTTGTGGCTCATGGTGAAGAGAAGGACAGCATTTCATGTGAAGAGGACGAATTGTGGTCCTTTCAGGCAGATTGCAGCATGCATTGTGATGGCAAGGCTTGCTGTGTTCGTTACGATTGCAAATGTCGCCGTAGTGGGTATTCGAGCAGGATGATTTGGGTTGTTTTGAGAGAGAAATAAGTGATGAGGATCGATACTGTTGTGGTTGAATTTTTTCTTCAAATTGTGCAGTGAGGCCGTGCTGAGAATCATCTTTGTCAACAGCAGTTCGATGGAAGTATTCAAGGAGTTCACTTTTCAGTTCATCAACCTTTTTAATGATTTTTACTTTGTCATCTTTTTCAGAGTATCTGAATTTGACAAACTGTTTGGCATGATCTTTTGATTTAGAAATTGATGGTGAGTCATTTTCTGATTCCATCCAGTTGCGCGCAGATTGAAAATCTTCAGAGATGAATGAGAAGTCTTGCTCTCTTGCATGAACTCCATTTCTGGGTGTGACTTGACCACTGATAACAGAGGATGTTCTTCTCCCAAATGTTCTTCTGGATAAATTGAGATACTTCTGAGGAATTTGTTTTCTTCGCTCTGCATCAATGGAAGAGAAGCTGCTATCATAAGCATGAGAGTTCTTTCTCAATAAAAAGCTTGTATCTTTTCTATAGTTTCCATTTATTTTATTATCCTTGGAGGAAGTATCATACTCGAGAGATTCTGAAGATTCCTCCAGTTTATCATTTGAGTTCATGCTGTTATTTGCTGCAGGAATTTCCAGATCTGAAGATACCTTCAGCTCTTTAATCAAATTATTCTTAGTTTTACTTGGGATGCCTGTTTCCGTCTTGTTCTCTTTCTCCAAAGTTGTCCCCTTTATCCCATTTTTAACATAAACTGGAGATTCCAACTTCTCTTTCAAATTTGCACCATTCAAATCAGCCACATGAGTGTTCATTGCATTTCCAGAGAATTCTTCAACATTCCTTTCACCACTAGACACGTGATCTTTATCTCCAATATGATCTGAAGGAGTTCGCTTTTCAAAATTCTCTTTTTGATTGACTTGAGAACTGCTATCTGAAATGTTCTTCGAGCTGCCGGCGGCTGATGCTGAACTCAAAAGTTCTCCACTGCTTGGATGCACTCCGGCTACATTAGAAGAGGGCATTAATAAGCATATGAACAAATCAAAAAACAAGAAGAAACAATGAAGTGATTGTGAAATAACATACATAGAAGAGTGGCACCACATCCACCACATTTATATACAGTAATCCCTGGAGGTTCTTTTAAAACCTCAAAACATTTTGCGCATCGAACAAAACCCAGCTTTGGGGCAGTGCTCTCCATCAAACTTCGCAGACAAAATCTGATGAGCAAACGTATTCGATTCACTGCCTCAATTCATCTTCCCTCATCCAGCTGAGGGAATGAACTCCCAACTAAGTTGTATAACACACACTATACATGTTCTCTGCATCAGAAAATTCATGGATATATATCAGTAAAACTGCAGCAGAAAAGCATCTTTTTTCTCCATGCCAAGTAGACTGTAGTGGTAAAACAATTCTTACAAGGAACAACAAAAACAACTCAAATTGCAGGTTCGATGATGACTATTTTGATTTTCCAAAAGAAAAAAAAAAGGCATCATTGGAGAGAGAGGATTGAGCACGAATTTAAGGTGTTTTTTACACTTTTACTGGGAGCAAAAAAGCAGCGAATCTTCATAAGAAATTCAAATATCAAGCCAAACCTTAAATTCCTAAAAGCTGCAACTGTTGCCATGTAAATTCAGCACTTAAAAAACCGATTTCAGTAAGTTTGTAGAAGAGCAATCACTAACTTGTGCAATAGTTCCTCTTCGTCATGCAAGCAAACATAAAAAACTCAGAAACACACACCAGATAGAATAATAGAAGAAATCAAACGCTTTGATTTTTCTCCTAACAGTATAAAATTCGATAAAAAGGCCAAATTTTGAATCAGAAAAGGGATAATGTTAATCACATACGGACAACTGAACTAAAATGGGCCATAAAACAGCCGACGATTTAACAATTTCTTCCACGCTGAAACTCCTAAATTCCAAATCAATCTTCTTCAGGTCTCTTATGAACTCTTAAAACTCAAAACAATATAAAGAAAGCTCGTCAAAACCTAATGATCACATACCAAAAAAAAAAAAACAGAACAAAAACAAAAAAAAACCCCTCGATTTCTAACGACCCCTCAATTTCTAACGATTAAACATTGAATCTAAGAAAAATCCCAAGCTTACCTTTACCTCACAAATCACAACCCTAAGCTCCCTCTAACCCCCTTTCCTCTAGTTCTCAGCTGAAGCATCGGCGTAGAAGAAAGGAGACGACGAAGTGACGCGAGTAGAATCAGGGAATGAGAACATTTTGAAAGGAAAAAGAACAAAAAAAGCCGACTTTTACTCGGTCTTCCTCGCCGGGTCAATGGATCTGATCGCTGATTATAGTCCGTTGATGCTCCCATCTGTAATCTGGCTTCTGTTTTAGATATAGAAAGAGGAGTACAGAGCATGAGTGTCCGTCGGCCCACACACCGTGTTTTTTCGTCTTGAATCCATTTAATGAAAATTTGGTTTCAGCGCGAATCTTAAAGCAAATCTGTCGGCCTTTGTTACGTTGTTTGCTTTAGCATTTAGTTCCGTGTAACGGCTTTTTTCGGCCATCCGTTTCGTGTAACGCGGATTCGCGGACGACGAGGTTCACACGTGTCATCCCGTTGTCATGTATCATGTCACATTGGTCAACCTTCGGAAGGAAGCTTTTGGCGACACAATGAGGTGGTGATGATTAATCTAGAGAAATTTTATTTTTTATTTCTTTTTCGGAAATTTGGCTCACATTTAACTTTTATTAAAAGAATTAAAATAAAATTACAATTAATGTTCATAAATAAATAAAAATTTTAAATAAAAACACAACATAATGAGCAGCAACTTGAATAGTAATAAGAAAGAATCTCTTCAAAAATTTTGCAACTAATGAATTTAGAATAAAGGAAAAGTTGTGTCATATTGCGATCTGAAGGGAATGAGTCGTCATACGAAATAGAAGTTCTCAAAATCTTTGAAGAATACTGACATTCAAAAAGGAGATGAGAATGAGTTTCATTCAAACTTCCACAAAAAGTGCATAGAAGATCAACCATCTAATTCCTTAAGCCCTTCCTGTATGATTTTCTAACATAATGAAGCAAATTTAAAGAGTGACCATTGAACCATACAAAACCGCTCCAAGAAATTTTCCTTGATTTTCAAATGGAAACTCATAAGAATTTATGAGAATATTTATTTTTACCCAACCAATGACAACTAAAATCAACAATATTAATTTGAATAACAAAAAAAAATAGAAGCAAAAAAATGACACACGATACATTAAATCCAATTTTTTATTTAGAATACTGTCTGAAACTTTACTTTTCAACTTCACACCAAGTTGATTAGTGTAGTGAGCCCCAAGGTTCTCAACAATATAAATATTACTAATTGAAAGACTAAAAAATGAAAGAAATATGACTTTTATAAGTAACCTGAAAAATCAATCATCTCTTTAATTTAACAGCAATATTCATAATACTTCTCTACAAGGGAGAAAAATTGTGTTTAAACTTTGCCAAGGAAAAAAAATAATGAAAGCAATACCATTTAGCCCTTTTGGTGCAACTTATCAACAACAGCATGTTTCGCCACCATCGAATTGAGTATTTGGTTACAACAGCGTAACAACATATCTTATGTCGCTCCCGTAAACACATGTTGTGTGTAACACCCCGCGGTTTATGTTTTCTTCGTATTATTTCCCCTCCCTATCAATGCATCTCTACCTTAACTCTCTCACCTCTCGTCCGAGCTCCTTCAAGTCTCAGTCTCTCTTGCTTCTTTGCCTCTCTTGTGCAGCCTCTCTTGCCTCTTTGTTGCCTCTCCTCGACTCTCTGTCCTAAGGCCGTTGCCTCTCCCTTATCTGTACTATAAGAAGTGATCAACCCCCTCTCTCTCCCACGTTATATTTTCTCATTTTTCTTTAAAATTTGAGTTTGATTTGAAATGTGTGACTTTCTTTGGGAAAATTGTGCCTCGTGAATATCAATATCTAGTAACACAAAAATAGATTTTTGGATTTTGGTTTTCTTTTCCTTTTTCTTGCACTTTGTGAGTTTTTCTCTATTTGGACTATGCTTTGCATTTTCATTCTTCATTTTGGGAATTTACATACCTAACATATGAAGTATTTATGATTTTTCTCTGCCTTTGCTATGTCCAGTTGTTATTATTTTCCAATGTGAATATTGGTTGGGATTTTATCAAGCATTTTGATATTTGTGGGAGACCTGACTCGGAGAGACTTAGATTTTATCAAGTATTTTGATGTGGATATTATCTTGAGCTAAAATTGAATTTGTAAAAATTGATGTATTGGGTGTTTTGTATGTTTTGAATATGTACGAGTGGTTTTATGGTAAATCCTCTCTTTGTAGTGATAATTTAAAAAAAAAAGGCAGAGAATTTTTAAAAATGCAATGAGAACTTTGATAATTGAATATGAATTAGTATTTTATGGTGGTGGTGATGTTGGTAGTGGTGGTGTTGGGGTTTTTTTGTGGTGGTGGTGTTGGTGGTTAGTTTTTTAGAGAAATGGTTATGGTGGTGTGGTGGTGATATTGGTGGCGGCGGTGTTGGTGGTGATGTTGGTGGTGGCAGTGTTGGTGGTGGTAGTGTTAGTTGTGGTGATGTTAGCTTTGGTGATGATTTTTTGGTGAAATAGTGGTGGTGTTGGTGGTTATTTTGGTTGTGGCGGTGTTGGCAGTGTTTATTTGGTGACAAGATGGTGATGGTGTTGGTGGTGCTTTTTTGGTGACATGATGGTGTGGTGGTGGTAGGTTGTTGGTGCTAATTTTTTGGTGACACGATGGTGGTGGTGTTAGTGTTGGTGTTGGTGATGGCTTTTTTTGTGAAATGGTGGTGGTGGTTTTGTGGTGATGTTTCTTTTCATTTTCCTTTTCCAGTTATTGTATTTTAGATGACACTTTTTGTTTTCTTTGGAAAATGTTTATGTTGATTGGTTCTTTTCATGCTAGCATTGTCGTGATTAAAGCAAAAGAAATTGATTCGTTTGTCATGTGGGATAAAGACGTCAAACTAATATTTTGCGACCTTTGCCTTAATGAGGTGGAATTGAAAAATAGATCAACAAAATATTTTAATAAGGAGGCCTGAAAAACTATTTTAAGAAAGTTTAAGGGAAACTTAAGAAGGGAATACAATATGATGCAATTAAAAAACAAGTGGGATCAATTAAAAAAAAATTAAAAATTTTAGAAAGAATTAAAGCGAGGATCCACGGGCTTAGGTTGTGATGCAATAAAGAATGGTAGGCCAGGAGTTTTGATGTAAAAATTTATGAAATGTTTGGATTTTGGTCACAACAATAGCTCTTCACAACTATATTTGACAAGATCTTTCACGTAGAGACATTGATTTCAATATAACAAATGAAGATTATTTCCATGTTCCTGCTCAAGCATATGAATATCGCCCAGGATAATTTATATCACAGGTTAAGAGTGATTTTCCTGAGACTTATACTCATAATGGGGAAGGTGCAAAGGGGATGATGGAGTTGAGAGAGCAAATTATAGATGTCATCGTTAGTGGGTAAAAGTATGTTGTATGCTTCTTTATTATTGTTTTATGTACAATTTGTTGTGATAACACTTATTATTTATTGTAATGGCAGTTTTTGAAAAGATGTACTTTTTTAATCGCATTTTGGTGGAACTTTTATTTATAATTACTTTGCATGTATTTTTTCTCATGTGGATGGCCTGCGAGGCAACCATGGGTATAATATTTAGTGTAAGTAGTTATTGCAAGTTTAATTTTTTTGACTTGGAGGTCTATGATGAGATATTTGATATTATGAGTTCTTATGAATGGCTTTTATGTTTTTATTGGTTCTTGATGCATATGAAATCACTATAAGGGCAGCTAAGTGATGTATGGAGAAATTAGCTAGTATTTTATTTATTTTATACATCTTTAGGAATGAAATTGTACTATAAAAAAGATATTTTCTTATTTATCTTGCAGATACAACAAGTGATTGAAGTGAAGAAAGCAAATAAGGACATGAAGCCAAAAGGTGCAAATTGGCTACTAGGCGCCAGACCCTTGGGCGCCTAGGTGTCAGACCCTACTTCGCCAACCTGAGCGGCTAGCGCCTAGTGGGCGCCAATGTGTCGGACCGTTGGGAGCATAGGCATTTATCCCTTCTTCAGCAGATAAAGAGCATGGAACCTAGGCATCAGCCCCTGAAACCTACAGTTGCTACAATTTGGAACTTCAGACGTAGGGGATCGTGTTGGGGATCTTGTCGGGCTACAGAGGAGTCGTTGAAGCCAAGTCAAGGAGCTTATAAAAAGCAGTGCATTGTAGACTTGGATGGATTGGAGGCCGATCAAACCAAAGTGGGTTTTATGATGGCTGATCAAACCAAAGTGGGTTTTGTGATCGACCTTGGTCGCCAATTGATACACCTAAAATATATAGAGTTTTTAGACACATTTTTATACCTATTTTTTATATATTTCGCTTTAATGGAAGTTATTTGTGTGTTTTTCTTTCAGGTATAAGTAAAAAAAGTGAAAAATGCTAAAATGAGTGAAAAATGGTCAAATTTGGAGCAAAAAAGTGAAAATTGTGCTAAAGTGTTTTGACGCCTAAGTGTCAAGCACCGGTGAAACAAAGAAGGTCGCACCTAAGCACCAGAGGCCCCGCGCTTAAGCGTCAGATGCATTTATTTGGAGGTTTACTTCATTTTGCCAAATTTTGAAGGGATATTTGAGGCACATATTAGCTAAAGAGGGTGGTTATGACCACTAGAAACGAAATTATGATTAAAGGCCTTGTGAAAGGAGGCATCCTTTAGAGAATACATCGAGTTGGGACACATTTTTAAGAGTTATAAAGACACCTCTTGGAGATTTATAAAAGAAGGAAATTGAGACTTCTTAAAGTGTGCTTGAAAGTTCTGAAAAGTGTTGGAAAGGGGGAGTTTTTGAGAGAGTTTTGGAGAGATTTTCAAGCACCACAAATTTACTTTATCCTTTTTGTTTTTAGTTTTATTGTGAGAGTCAAGAGTGTTGTAAAAGAGAAGTGATTCAAAGGAATTTTAAGAGTTTGGTGGAAGATTTGAGATATGTTTTTATCTTTGTTTTTAATCGAGATTTCTTGTTAATTTGACAATGATTTATACTTTTAAACTAAAGTGTGGTTTTGTTTTCTCTATTGATTTTGAGTAGTTTTCTTTATTTTTCTTCTTAAAATGATATGTAATTAAAGTTTGGATGGAAGTTGTGGAGAGTATTGATCTTTAATGTTGGAAGAAGTTGTCATGATTTAAATTCATATACTTCATTTACTTCTTGATTTGGCCTATCCAGATGTTAAAATTTGTTG